TTAAATCTTGTAAGGATTATCTAATCAAATTAAACAATTAATTTAATCCTAATCCTTATCCCTCTAGATTTAGAGAATTAAGGGTATAGGATAATTTCCTTATTTTTTTTCAATTATCCAATTAGGCAACTATTATCCAAAACAAGAAACCCTAAAAATATCATGTAAATTTCGAAATTCAAGGGAGGAGGCTAGGGTTTTTTTAAAACCCTAACCCTAAAAAACGATTAGGGTTCATGGAGGCTAGGGTTTTCGAAAACCCTTCAAGCCAAAAAACCCTAAAAACGAAAACTTGGCCATTTAGGGTTTAATAGCTATAAACCCTATTTTGCAATTCAACCATTATAGCACTTCAATTTAAAACAAACAATGGCTCTGATACCACTGATGGGTTTATGTAAACAAATAAACTAGAAAACAATTCATAAGTTCACATGCAACCTACTTTGGATCTATGTTTTAGCTATTGAACATATAACTTTGAATTGCAAAACAAGAACCCTAAGGAGAGAGGCTATTTTTGAAAATACAAATTAAGGTTTAAGAGTTACATACCTTTCAATTGTTATAGCAAACAATTGGTAATCCTCTTGATCTTGATCTTCTTGGAAGCTTAGCACCACAAATGTAATGCCTCTAATGAAGTCACACCCAAGAGCTAGCAAGAAGGAAACTTGTGAAGAGAGAGGCTAGGGTATGCAAAAATCGGCCTAGGGTTTCTTCAAGGTAGGAGTGGCCGATTTTGAGAGCCAGGAGGATCCTTATATAGCTGAGGGATCTAGGGTTTAGGGGAAACCCTAATACTCCTTTGCTTGGGGCCTAAGCTTATCCAAAGGCCTTATCCAAGCCCCTTGGACGAAATCATTAGGGTTTCCCCTATAGATTTCGTCCACCCCCTTCCAAGGAGGTTCTGGAGCCTTCCACTCAACTATTTGATAATTGCAAACTAATCCCTGCACTTTATAATTAATATAATTAACCCCAAAATTAATTCTAATTAATCTCTGGCTAACTATTAATTAAACCTTATGATTTCTAATTAATATATTAATCTTTTAACATATTAATAAATCATTTATATTAATTTATTAATCTTATAATAAATCAATATCTCTCCTTTCATAATTTCCTTGTCCAGTTGCTAGGTTTGAGGGCAACCCAAAAGGACTGTACTGCTATTAATTCAAGTACATATCAATTATAGTTATGGGCTTAGACACCTAATCCAACAAAAAAGACACCTAACATCATATATAGTCTAGTGAGAAGACTCAACTGAACTACTTAACAGACGCTCAATAACTACCTCAGCAAAAGAACAACCAACCTAAGCTTCCTAAATCCAAGCCAAGACAATTCCTTAGTTAAATGCTCAATTCTACCCAAGTTTGACCAAAAGTCAAACTGGTCAAAAAGTTAACGGTCAAAGTCAACTCAGATGACCCCCATGTCGTGGCAATTCCTCTGCCACGCCGTGGTCACGTCCAGACAAAACAGACGCGTTGCAGCGCGTCACCACGTCGTGGGCCTTCCTTGGCCATGTCATGGTTTTGGTCAGAAAAAATTCTTATTCATTAAGAGCTTAACCCTTAAAGACCAAAACTCATATCATCATATTTGGTTCCTAATAGCTTCTTAATGGATAAAGTTTTCAAATTTATCAATTAGGATGGTCCAAGCAACCAAAATCTAGTCTCTAAATCTCAAAGGGACCAAGAATGCGTCTTTTTCAACTTAATCCATTAAGTCCTGGTCTGCAACCTTCAGATCTGAATCAACATGATGTTTGGATGGATAAAGTTTCCAACTTTATCCATAATAATGTCTCAAACTTTCAAGATCTAAAATCTAATAAACCAAAATGACCTAAATGACCAAGTAAACTTGCATGGCAAAATACAAAAGTAAAAAGATCATAACTTTCCTAGTTCATGAGATCCAAGAAGCATTCCAAACTGATCAAAATGTGTTGGAGTCCACTCAACTCCAAGATCACTCATAAAATAGACCAAAGTGTCAAAAAAACCACAAATAAGGAGATCTAAAGAACTAAAGAGCAAGATATGAACTTTATACTCACAATAGTCCAGAAATGGAGTGACTTTGATGGATCCAAACTTGAAACAACATTCCTTGCAACCAAAAGAACCTTCTTGATCTTTAAGCTTCATCAAAAACACCACTAAAAATCCAAAAGATGAGAGAGGAGAGGGGAGGATCTCAACTCTTGAAAGGGAGGTTAGGCTTGCTCCTAAGGAGTTTTAAGAGTGATGGAGGCTAACAAAATACCCTAAAACATGAATCCTTACCTTTAAATACCTTGAAAACCCTAAAATAATTCATGGACTTGGGCTTCCCAGCGGTCACCTCTTGAAAATCTTCTTGTCACCTCATGACGACTTTCACCTCGTGACAACATGTTTGTCACCTCGTGACTGTGGGTTTTCACCCAATTCCAATCCAGTTTCAAACAGCCATAACTTCCTCATTTCAACTCCATTTTCGGCAATCTTTATATGCACGCGAAGGTATTGACAAGCCCACAAGTATATCTAATTGCTTTTGACTTTATACATGTAAAAATAAAACCATAACCCATGCAATGCGCCCGAAATATTTCTTTTCCTATTTTACCCTTTTTGCTTCGAAGCACAAGGAGAGGCTAGGGTTAGGGTTTTTCTATGTTTGAGGGCGAAGGAAGCTGTTAATGAACCCTAAAATGAAGCTTATGGGGTTCAAATATGAAGGAAACCCTAAAAGATCATGGGCTTGGGCTGCAGCCCATCTCACGTCATGAGCACTTGTATCTCACGGCATGGCCCAATTGAATCTGTCTTTTCCACTTATTCACTTGTCACATCGTGGCCTCTCTATGGTCATGTCGTGACACCCAGTTTTACCCAAAAACCATGCATTTGGCTCCTTGATGCCCTAAACTGATCTGTTCTCGAAACTGGGTGTTACAATCCTAGCTAGCCAACATGTTCGCAACTCTTACAAAGACTCTTTCTTCCTTCAAAATCAAGCACAAGCACCAATCTGAGCCCAAAAATGGAGGATAGGGATTAGGGTTTTCTTTTACAGGTTTGGAGGTGATGGAGGCTGAGGGTGAAGGAAACTCTAGCCCCTCACTTCCTTTAAACAGGGTCCAAGTCCGAATTTAGGGTTTTGCATTTGATTTGGTGTCACGTCATGACCCATAGAGTGTCACATCAAGACACTTAAAAGATCCTTTCCGAAGAATGCGGCCATGTCACGACGTGACGATGCTTCCCTCATGTGTGACTCTCTTAAAACTTAACTTATTTTACATTTTCGTACCTCGGAGATTCGGATGTTACAAAAAAAATAAGTTACAACTAGTTAATAGTTGCAATTGGGTTTTGAATTAACTTGTTCAGTCCAATTAAGGTTTCCTTAATGGATCCTACTAGAAATCCACATGAAATATTTAAAAACAACTTTGTCAAAAACAAAATCCACCTTAGGCTTTGATTATAACGAGTACGCTAGTTCGGTGCAATCCTCCATCTTGTGGTATCATACTATTAGCACATTCATCAGCTAGATGTGAAGAATGTAATCCTTCACGACTCATCTGCATGAGACCCATTTCATGCACCAACAATCGGAATTTTAGGACCCTTGCTTTCCCGGCCATGTTTTCCATATATAAAATAGTTGTACGACTTGAAGCAGCCCATAGACCGTGATTCCACATGTTTGCTCAGTTTGTCATTGGGCTTGGGATTTGCTCACAATCACTCAAATTTCTATCTTTTCGTATAAAGTAAATGTCAATGTACGTTGTACCTTATTCTATATATGGAAGATGTAGTCACACCGCCTCGTCACCATCCCTCCTTCAACATACAAACTCCTCTCTCAGTAAGGAGTTCTCTATGTCCTACCTTGGGGATCTTAATTTCTTACTTAGTGCTTTAGTCACCCGGAACAAGTATAAAATGTTTCTATGTCAACAAAAATATGTCACTGAGATCCTCGAGCGTACCAACGTGCTTCAATGCAGGACATGTCACACACCGGCAAATACTTCCTTATCATTGACAACTAGTGACCTACGTTTGGTTTCTTTGATTGCACAATAAAGTATAATCAACATCATAGCTAGTTATTCTAAAAGATTTATCAAGTTACATCATGAGTTGTAGTCTTTTTACACTTGGTTGTGTATGCACTAAATTGTACTTCAAAAATATAACCATTTATGTATTAAACAAATCCAATAGTAATGACGTAATGTCATGCCTACCAAGTTAAGTATGTCTTTGAAACGTGGCACTCTCTCTTGGCTTTTTAAATACTATAAAGAAATACCCATTTGCTTACAAATTCATGTGTTACCTCTCTACTTCTGTACGTTCATGTGCTCTCAAATATTTTATATGCTTTTGTTCCTTCCCAACACAGTTTGATCTTGAAGTATTCTACCGCTGCTTTCTTGTCTCAAAGTCATGGAAGATCAAGCTCAAACTCAAGTTCCAACCCCTAGTAGTCCAAGAAGCCAATGTCTTGAAAGAAATGAACCAGTTAGGTCAAGATGGACACCTAAGCCTGAACAAATCCTTATACTCGAGTCAATTTTCAACAGCGGAATGGTTAATCCTCCCAAGGAAGAAACAGTCAAGATAAGGAAGCTGCTTGAGAAATTCGGTTCTGTTGGCGACGCCAATGTTTTCTACTGGTTTCAGAACCGCCGTTCCAGATCTCGCAGGCGGCAACGTCAGATTCAAGCTAGCCTTGTAAGCAGCGGCGCCTCGCTAGAACAACACCAACAGCAACAATTACCAATGCTTACGAGATGTGTGAGTGGTGGTGGTGGTGCAATTGAGTACCAAGATACTGCTTACACCACTCCCACTCCTGTGTTTCATATCCAACAACCTAGTTTCTTCTCACTCGCCGTTTCTTCTTCTTTGTCTTCTTCTCCTTCTTCTTCTTCCTCATCACGGCTTGGTGGTTCAGACGAGATTTATTCCCTTTCTGGCCAATCCTCTAGTTTCCATGAGCAGAACACTCCCATGCCTTCAAGTTTCCAGCAATTAGATACTTCTAAAGTTCATTATGAATTTGGTAGGGTTGCTTCAAATAGATGTATATTTATTTTTCTTTACATACATAGATATATGTAGGTCTTATAATCCAGGTAATCATATTTACAAACCAATCGGACTTAATATTCTTTTGTGTTAAAACAAACACAAGTGCAATTTTACAATCTAAAATTAAAAGAACTTGGATAATTAATTAAATTAGATTTTCATAAGTTATATATAATTCTCATCTTTAAATTATTTTTCTTGGGGTAGAATTGAATTTGTAATTGCTGGCACGCTCATAAATTACCTATATAAAAATCCATTCACCATATGTTTTAATTGTATTTTCATATATGTTTTCCCAACACTAGCCAATATATATACCACACTTAATTATTACTGAAATTTGTTTGATTTGTAGGTTTAGGAGTGATGATCACTGTATTCATCAATGGAGTACCAACGGAGGTGGAAAGTGGGCCTGTTAACATGAAAGCTATGTTCGGTGAAGATAATTTGATGCTTGTCCACTCGTCTGGTGTGGCCTTGCCTCTGGATGAGTTTGGGGTTTTGGTGCCTGGGTTGCAGCATGGTGAAAGCTACTTCTTGGTAAGCAAACTTTGTTGATTAAGATCGATATGATCGAGTGTATATGTAGTCAAATGTTCTTTTGCTCCTAATCTCATGCATTATATATACAGCTGTTTTCTTAATCTCTTTTTTAGATGATCATGATTAATATCTTCAAGTCTTAAAAGCTCATTTAATCCAATGTGAAAGAATTGAAGTGGGTGATTTGTGAAATGTATTATGACAAAAAAGAAGAAGCTTTAGAGTGAACATAACAAATTTGTTGTGGGCGGCAGACATCCATTTATATAATATATTCGTTGAAGTTTTAGTTGCAAATAGCACATTAATCCACGAAGAAGGTGCAATCTTTAGGTTTTGTTTAATCAAATGAACAAAATAGGAAAGGCACATTTCAAAAAAGTTGAATCCGCACGGTTTACTTGAGAAAAGTTTCTATAAATAGCAACTTAATTAACTTGCCTAGGATTCCTTCAATTCTTATGGAAAGTCGATTACTTTTCAATGTTAAAATAATATCATCTAATTAGTGCTAAAGATGTACAAACCCCTTCAAATAGCTATACTTGTCTCATTCTTTTAACATTTTTATAGTTTCATTAATTATATAATATAATATATCCACCACTTTGATGAAATCAATGATATCACAAAATCGTTACAAAATGGGTTGACCCCTACAAATTATGGTTGTAAATTTTTGATCAAAAGTTGTGATTGAGTTATATGGTTTTCTCACGAACTTGAAACTATTTTGGGATTGAAAATTTCATATGGTATATTACCATGTATCATAAATCAAATTTAATCCTCGTAAAATAACTGAATTAAAGTTCTTAGGTTAGGGAGATAAAAGGAATATTACACATTACATTTTTATCAGCAGATGTTGGATCACTAATCCACATAAATTACTCCAATTTCGCCTTGTCATAGCGACTATTAATCCATAGAAAGCTCATTTTCTATAAGAGAATAAGAGAACGCAAGCATAACTTTTCATCATTGGGGATAAGGTTTTTTTATATAACTAATGAATCCATTTGATGCTTTATTTTGACAATTGTAATTTATAAGGAACCAATATGTACCCATGTTGTCACCCAGACTACTTTGGATATGTATATCTTACACGAAAAAATAAAACATATATAAGTTTATTTTTATGTGTCTTCTAAAAAATATTAGTAGGATTACAGACATTACTGATTTGAATTCACAAAAAAATATTAGAATTCTATAGAGTATTGGTGTCACATAAAATTTCATTTCCTTTTCCTTGTGATTTATAAGTTATATGTCGTATTTATTGATTATGGTTTGTAGATTTTTTTTTTTAATTTTATCTTATACAATTATGCTTTACCTATTTGATGATTCAATAAATCTTTTAAGTCAAGTATTATATTTTTAATGGCAGAAAATATACTATATATTTTATGTTTTATGCTTTGGGACTAACATGGGACATGAGTATGTATATATTACATTGAGATTCTGCAGAGGTTCACCCATACCATGAATAAGTGCATAAAAATACAATAATGGGATAAGGTTTTTTGATATAACTAATGAATTCATTTGATGCTTTACAGGTCTCAAGGTCCGTTTAGATAGAAACTTGAGCTTCACCCGACCACCTTTCAACAAGGATTTTCTGGTTTCTGCAATAATTTTGTGATCTTTCATACAAATCCACCCTTCTACTTTAATGTCATGATTTTGTTTTGTTTAGCATTACTTTCATTTCTACTTCCTTTCAAATAATTTAAAATCTTGTATAAATATAACATAGTAAATGGTGTTCTAAACGTGCAATACTTGCATTTTGTATCCTTTAATTGTTTTTTAGAACTTCTGACTTCAGTAAAAATCTCTAGTAACGAACTAGAGAGGAAAAACAGAAACAACATGATTACATAATTCTAACAGCATTGGTCAGGTTTTTAACCCATTCAGACCAACAGACATTTAAGTTTATAAGAGATTTGAGTTCTTTATCCTATATCTCCTCTAATTGTTGACCAACATCTTTAATATGTTCATATTTTCGTCTCCAAAGAAGTATAGATAAGAGTACATGATGTGAT